TCATACCTAATCCAACCACCTTCCTTGTGATTTTATCTCTAAGTGTAACCTTGCCATCATTCCTAGCTTCCAATGTTATAAATTGTGCAGCATCTTAAGTCATATGTTTTGAACATCCGCTATCCAGGTACCATATCCTCTCATAAGGTCTTGTGAGAGAGCCACCCTACAAAATTATCAAATGTTAGACCTAGGAACCCAAGCAAGTTTGGATTCTCCTTTTGACAATTTATAATCATATGCATGTATGATATGTCTAAGTTTATGCATCTTAGGTCTCCAAACTAAATAAGTTTTCATCTTTAAAGTACAGGTGTGAGCTATATATCCAAACAATCCATAATTATTATATTTGTCTTTTGGAAATAGATTCCTAAGTATTCTACCATTCATCTTTCTATTCAGAGATTGCATAAATTTAGGATATATAATAGGATTAGTAAAATCTTCAAGTCTGGGGGGTATCCTATTATCCTCGAGAGCTTTTATCTTCAATTTATAAAATGAATTTATATCTTTCAAGATTTGATTTTTATAATTGATTCGATATGTTTTGCTCTCAAATTCATACTTAAAGTTTTTAAATTCTTTTTCAAGTTTAGCATAGGATGATTTTAAATTTTTATAATTTTTAATCAAGTCATCAAACTTATCAAGTAATTTCATGTGGTTGTTGTCAAATAAAGCATGATCTTTCTTAAGGATTTCAGGTTTCTTTTGTAATTCTTCAAACTCTAAACTTAGACTAGTATGCATTTTCTTCATTTTTTAATATGCATCATACATGTGTTCAAAAACTTTAAAAACTTCATCATAGGTTAAGTCCCATACCTCATCTTGATCTGATTGATCAAGACAATCAGTTATGAAGCACAGATTAGTGAATTCTTCTTCCTTTTCAGTCTCTGATGAATCTGAAGCTGAGTCCGCCCAGAAAGCTCTTTGAAGCTTCTTCTTGCCCATCTTTACAGTTGGTTTCTCTTCTACCTTCTCCTTGCTAGGAGTGGCTTTGAGTTTTGGGCATTCAGTCTTGCTATGTCCAAGTTTTCTGCACTCATAGCAAATTTCATCATTTGAAACCATGTCATTTCTATTAAATTTAACTCTATTCCATTGCTAGTGTCTCTTATGCTTCCTCTTCAAAAAGCTTCTTAATTGTCTAGTCATCAATGCAATGTCATCTTCATCCTCAGGTTGTGAGTGTTTACTCTCAGACTCTTCCACTTTTAGTGCTATGTTCTTCTCCCTTCGTGGTACACCTGCATCAATCTTTCTTTGGCTAACTCCTTACTCATAAGAAATTAGTGAAATAAGAAGATTATCAATAGAGTAAATGTTTAGATCTTTAGATTCTGTAATTACAGTAATTTTAGCATCATAAGCAATAGGCAAACAACGAAGAATCTTATTAACCATTTCAGCATTCGTTAGTTCCCTACTCAGTGCATGCAAAGAGGCGACAATTTGTGTGAATCTTGTGTACATATTAGAAATGGATTGATTTGATTTCATGCGAAATAGTTCATAATCATGCAACAAGATATTAAGTCTAGATTGCTTATGTTGCAAACCTATTTTCTTATCTTATGTTTTGATGATTTACAAACACTATTTCTCTTGGACTACTTGTTACTTCTAACTTTTCAGTAATCGAAGATCGGACGATCAAGAAGAAGCCAAGTTTAGGATTGCATAGGTTTAGGGTTGAGTCAGTCTGTACTTTTATTTTTCATCTTTTGAGTATACTTGTAATGGTCAAAGAGACTGATACTAAGTAACCCTACACACACACACTTGAGAGATTTAGAATATCTGTTTTTGCTCACATCATCTAGGCCGATCCCTTGGATCGTCCTGGACGATCGAGTTCAAAATAGAGACTCTAATTAGGATTCTTAATTAAGGCAGCCGACATTAACATATCGACCTGCACGATACGTCTATCGGCCTGGACGATAAGCTCAAAACAGAAAGAAGTTGCCACCATAGACAATTAAGGTATACTGTATTTATTGCTAGTGGACCCCACCCCCAAGCCCCCCTGTTTCTTCCGCCTGCTGTGTGTCCCGCTTCCGCCTGGAGAAGACCCGGACCAGCTGGGCCGGTCCAGGTTGGACCGGCCTAACAGATCCCCAAGACAGACAGCAGCTTTGACGGATGATTTCAAAGTATACTTAACATTATGCGACTCTTTCCCTTGAAACTTTGTAAAGAACTCAACCTCCTCGTCAATAAGATGTATTGGAGACAATTTAGCAACAAAAATTTTGCTTGGTCAAGTATCAATAGGCCATTCTTTAGCTCACTTGGCAAAAAATTTTATTCTAATCTTTTCTTTTATTTTCTAGCTCCTGAATCTTTATATATTTGGATGAAAAAAAAAACTCTACCACTTAAGAGGTCTTTACAGGGAACATAAATCAGAATAGGATTATACTCCTCTTTACTCATTCCAACAAGTAGATAATTAAAGTAAAAATGCTAGCAAAAGAATTGGGAACAACCGAAGCCAAGATCAAGAAATATTGAAAGATATTAAACACCTTGGGGAAGGAAAAAGGTCGCAATCCTAGATGAGATTGATCATGGTAGAACAATTGTTCATCATCTTTGAGTGAATAAGGGAATTCACCTACTTCTGGAACTCGGACCATGAAATCATCATCGAAATCAATCTGCCGCTACAAAAACTTGAATTTATACTTAGTCGCCAATGAAGAGACCTGTCACATGCCTTTAAGAAGTAACCAGTACAACTCAAGAACAGCTTAGACATTATTTATCTAAGAGTAGAAGGTAGTTGCCACAAAGATCAGGAAGAGAGAGAGTGGAAGAATAAAAATGAATTTTAAAGGCCTACTTATAAAAAACCTGCATAAGGTAGTTCCACGTAGTCAGCTCAAACAGGTCAAATTGCCAGATTGCAATAAAGTATCTACAGAGTCAAAGCGACACTAAAAGTCAAATCAAATGATAAATAAATGAATAAGTTACAAAGGACAGTGGATGAAAATATAAATATTTATATACATGAATTCTCTAATACAGTGAGTTCTAACTGTTACAATAAAAACTTTAAAGCAAATTATGAGTACAAGTCACCAATATATTTTCAAATTCGACTACAAGTGATGACATCGCCCCCAGCTAAGCTTGCACAATCTAATCAAAAATAGCTTCTTACAAAAGTAACCTTGGTGAATAAAATAGCAAAGTGCGAATTTGGCACTTTCAATAATTTGGCATATTCATATAGAAGTCACACCCATCCTCAAAAGGATGATCTCTCCATTCAAATTGTTTCGTTCCAACCTAATATTAGTAGCGACTTCATTTGAAATAGTGTCAAGACGATTAGAGATCCGCAAATCTTTACATCATATTACCCAAGTGAATTTCTCATATTCTCCAAAAAACTAAAGCTTTGTAATTCTTCCCTTGAACTTTTCATGTTTCGATTCAGCTTGCAGAGTGAGTATCAACTCTTTTAAAGCTTCAAAATCTTTTTGTGGAGGTGTTACAACTTCCATGATTAGGGATTTAGAAGTAGGTGCTTTAGTAGAATCTGACCTCAACTTGATCACCAAGAATGGTACATTTTTCTACATTCATTGAATCAATAACAATGTTTTGTTTTCATTGCCGACTATAGCATGAATTGAAAAATCAACAATTTGGTCAACATGTGAGTCAATAATTGGCTAGAGACCATAACAAAATCGCTAAAAAGTTACCTTTTTTGCTCAGGCAAAGATTGTTCAAGTATATCACTTGTTGTTGGTATTTCGCGAGAAGCTTCATCTTTCTCACCCTTATCAATCTCCTCTTTTGCTCTTTTAAGAGGTGGAGACGAAGATTCATCAAAATTCTACTTCGCCTCTAGTTCTTTATTCTGCTACAAAAGCATCATAGATACATCCTTGCTAGAAAAATTATTGGCCTGATCCATACTTTCACAAAAGAAGTTTTAAAAAAATTCCTTTCATAAGAGAGATAAGTATTTATATATCTGTCTTGACAATAACATAAACTGGGATGTTAAATTTAAACAACTGGTCTTACTCAGATTACCAGCTCACCAAGAAAGAATACTAATTATTCTCTTATTCAGCTAAATGTACATCAAAATATCTCAGAGATCTGATTCAAGTCAATTCAACTCGACCAATATACTAAACAATTCAATCGAGTAGGAAGAAAAGATCTAATGAACTTGCCAGAGGCACATTGAAATTATCGAGGCCATCACAAACTTGCCAATGTTGTCATGAGCTCACCAGGCATAACTCGTCCTAAAGATCAACTACTTTTATATTGTTTGTCTGATATTCTTGTTAGTAAGATTTTGGAGTTACCCATAGACAAATTTAGATCCAACATTCTTGATTTTGAAGAAGAGGACAATATTTGTAGCAAGAAATGTTTGCACCTTAAGGAATCAAATCTTAATAGCAAGTAGCAACATGTATTTCTAATCATGAGTAATTAGTTGACTCATGCCCAATACTTTCGACTAATCTTTTTGAGAAAGAAAATTTTTCCAATCTTCCAAATAAACCATCAATATGGTTTGAGAGTTTTAATATTACTGGATTGGGAAGAGGACAATATATGCAGCAAGAAATAGTTGTAACATAAAGTATCAAATCTTAGGAGTAAGTAGCAACATGTATTTCCAATCATGAGCAATCAGTTGCCGCATGCCGAATACTTTTTAATAAGCTTTGGGAGAAAATTTTGCCCATTTTCCATAAAAACCATCAATTTGGTTTGAGAGTTTTAAGATTATTGGATCAAGAAATATGTCAAGCAGACAAGAGTTACCACATCACAAACAACTAGAAATTTATCTAGTTATGTTTATATATAAAAGAAAAAAAAAAAAAAAAACACAAGCAAAATTCAAAACCCCACTTTAAAAGAACACAAGCAGATAAATACCTATTAGTAAGAAAGCATCTATTGCTAGGACACATAATTGCCATCTCTGTCTTGGCCATATGAAATCCTATCAATTAACTTCATAAAAGCATGGCAATCATATAAATAAAGAAAACAATAGTCTCAAGCTTACATGCTTTACTCCTAATCAACAAGAATGGATTAGGAGAATAATCATGATGGAGCTACTTAAACTTAGTCAAAATCAAGTACAAGCAAGTCTGGCAAATGTTAAATAACCAGTGTGCCCTCTTGCTTCATTGCATGGTTTAGCCATTATGGTTGGTCTTTCCTCATCCTCACATTCTCCTTCACTTGACAAATGCTGACGTTTCTTGTGTGGTTTCAATACCATAGGGACTCCATTTCTTCCAACTTCCATCCTACCCTCTCGAATTTCATACATTCGGAGAAGAACTTCAAATGTCCTCACATCTGCATGATAGAAGCATCCTGCTTACATCAGACAAGATTACTTGCCAAAAAAAAACATGCATAATCAATCAACTGGCTAATCATTGAATCTACAAGATGTAACAGATGCACTACAACAACATCAACAACATCAAGCCTTTGTCCCACTACGTGGGGTCAGCTACATGAATCTTTTCTGGCATTGTGTCCTGTTAAAAGTCAATGTGACAGATGCACAAAAAAAGAAAAAATAGATCATGGAAAACCAAAAGTCCAACAATATCTAGGAATGTAAAGTAATAATTCAATTCAAACTTTATAATGTTCACCCAAACCAAAAAATGTGTGGGTACAATTGGCATCATGTTAAATGTCATAATAATTACATATTTGATATTTGCATTCAATAGAGAAAACAAGTGCAATGCTCACATTACCAGTGAAATTGTGTCGTAAAGTCTCACAAGAGCGTTGCACCTGCTCTATGCATGGAGAGAAAGAGCAAAGAACACCATCTTGTTTTAACATTCTTGCAGCAGAAGGCAATGCTAGCCATGGCTGTGGAAGGTCAAGAAACACAGAGTCCACAACTCGGCAAAATTCATCGGGGAAGCCTTCTCCTTGAATATCCCTAACAGAAACAGTAATGAAACTTTCCAGCCCATTCATAATGAAATCTTCCCTGTCATGGATGAAATCTAACATATTACAACAGGTGAAAAGAAACTGCTATCACTACTGTAACCTGAATACAACTAAGATAATCAATTCCACAATTTAGAAGGTCAATCTATGGTATTTATACAGAAAAAGAAAGAATGCTATGAAAATGGATTTAATGAATATAAATAAATTATGTGAGGAAGAAATACAAGAGACCGTGAACTACAGCAGAAACATTTAGTTATGAGTAGGTACATTTGTGTGAGAGAGAAAAATCTGTTATAAATGTCAACAATGGTGTAAATTTAAAAAAAAAAAACCATTGGATTGCAATTTATTTGTCTGCATTACAAAGAAATTGGATTTTGATTTTCCATTGTAAATAGAAATATTACTTGAATTTAGGAATGTATTCCAGAATCAGTTTCATGGTTCTTAAAGTCATATATCTCTTCACTATTAGAACTTTTTTTATGCGATTTGAACATTTCCCATCTCTACTGAAGACTAAGGACGATGCTAAAAGAGCTAGAGGTAGCAAAATCCTGTTCATAGTTGTACAAATCTTATATTTCTTCAGAACTGAAATATTAATGATGATTAAATTAAATACAAGTTTAAATTGAATAGTGGGATAAGTTGCGTACCTGGCCAAGGCTGCTCTTTGTTCATGAAAATCAAATGTATAAACATGGCCAGAAGGTGCAACAGCTCTAGCAAGAGAAGTCGTTAGAGAACCGCTACCAGTGCCAGACTCCAAAACCACACAGCCCGGAACAATTTCCAAGTAGGATATCACAAAGCTGATATCAGCAAGGTATAAAATCTGAGTCCTGTGGCTGAGGACCAGAGTCCACAACTCAGGTGTTGGAAATAAGAGATGAACAAAGCCACCCTTGTTGCTAAAAACCTTGGAACCAAAAGGTTTTCCTATCCAGTCAGAATGCTTAAAAACTCCATATCTATTCTGGAAGTCTGAGCCCACCTTTACTTTGATAGCTTTCATGTTGTCATGCCTCTCATACACAATCACCAGATCACCATCACAGATGCGGCGCTGAAATGAATTCCTTTTTGATGGATCAGATGGAAACATCCTCGCAATCACATGAAGGGGCTGTTTGGCAACAGAATTTAAGCAGGATTTGTACAGGATTTATGTTCAATTCTACCGGACAGGATTTAAGCAGCCGGTAGATCTCACGGCGGAATAAATCCTCCTTTTTTCCTCTTTTTGCCGTAAATCCCAGATTTACTAAATCCTGGAGTTCGACGGATATACGGGATTTGGCTGAAGGAGCGCGCCAAAGGGAGAAAGAAGCGCGCGAAAGGGAGGAAGTAAGCGAGCTCCCGTCGCTACTTCTGATCCAACAGGAATAACGGCGAACTGTCGCGACTTCCAATTCGACAGGAAGACCGTCGTCGAAGGAGGCGAGGAAGGCTTTCAGCGACCCGTTCAAAACCCTACATTGTCCAAAAAAGAATTTTTTCTAAAAAAAAAAAATTAATCTTAAAGTGTAATTAATTAGGAAATAATCTAAGTAATTTAATTAATATAACCAAGGGCAATGTAGAACTACTATATGTTGATACTGAAAATCAATTGATATATATTTTTATCAAATTCCTAAATTTTGATATGTTCAATATATTTAGGACTAGACTAGATGTCATTGACGTAAATACTTAAAAAAAATGAAGTATTTATATATGAAATTGTGATTGTTTGTGTAATCTTATATTTTTTCTTATGAGTAGTTTGTGATATTTTATAATTTGTAGTGTGTATTTATCATTTGTAGTGTGTTTGATTGTGCTTTCAATTTTTAGTATTTCTTTTTGCTCTATAATATTACTTATATGTAGTTACTCTTTTTGGTTATATAAAAATGGGAAATAGTGAGTGTGTTGGTTGAACTATTTATTTTTTATTAGTGCAACTCTTATTTTTAGTGTTTATTCTTTTTTTTTTTCCTCCTTAAAATTAAAAAATTAAGATTTTTTTCCTATTTTAAAAAGAAATCACTTAGTGAGAGGAAATTTTTAGTAGGAAATTAACAATTAACTTATATTTTTAAAATTCCAACCAACAATATTTATCATCATAAAAAAGAGAGAGATTGTTGTAATCTAAAAGCTTGACTTTTTATTTTTATTATTACAAACTTTATTGGATATTTATTTTATTTTCTCCTCATTTAAACATTGCATATATTTTTTCTATGTACTACTAAAAGTTTAAGTTCAACATATACAAAATATTGCAAAGAATTAGGACTGAAGAAAATATTGTGATGGTCAGTTACTTTTAAATGAGTCTGTAATTTTACTTTTCTTGAGTTAATGTTTGTAAATAGGTGTATGTTTTGGCTTAGTAATCGTGTACAAACACACAATGGGGATGAAAAAATAAATATTTTAATTTTTCTATTAATCATATTGTAAGATCCATATCGTATTGTACGATCTATTCAAATACAAATTAATTCAAATATTTAATTAATGAGAGAAATTAAATTTAGTTATAACTTATCGTATTGTATGAACAACACATCATACATGACCATTAGCTAATTTTAGAAACCTCGTCGTTCAATCATACTTACTTAAATAGGTAAATTTAAAATTTTAAAAATATGCTTTTCGCACTGTACAAACTTATTTGTAATGTATGATCTTTAATTAATATTGTCTAATTTAATTTTGGACATTAAGGAATTAAATCAGATATGTAGTAATTATAGATCATATTGTATGAACCACCCGAGAACTCGCTAGATGAACTTTGATTCGTCTTGTACAATGTGATATTTAGTTTGAAATAATTGTATTTGATGATTTATAATTATACAGAACGATCTATGACAGTAATGAACTAATCGTATTGTACGATATAAATATCGTATTATACGATCATAAGCGATAAAATTAAAAATTAGAGTTTTTCAAACCCTATATATATAAACTCTTGTTGTAACTTTAAGAAGGGTCTTTGGTCATGTATTAACTCGAATACATGGAAAATATTTTAAAATGAAAAAATATAAAAATCTAAAATTATGTTTGAATTAAAGAGCTTTGTGATAAGTGTAAATTATGTATTGTTTAATATATTTTATTTTCAATAAAAATATATTATTTTAGTTTATTTTATATAGGAAAAACTCAAAAATGGTAGAAAATGCTAAGGAGCCCACAACACCACGGCCTAAGAAGAAACACAGCCGCAGCACCACCTTCAGCACTTTTGAGGCGCCACATTTTAGACATAACAGTGACATGTTCTCTATTTTCAAACACTACAACAGTGACACATCAAGCACCACTACATCAGAAAGTCAACTTGGTGCTTAATGTCACTGTGCCATAATGTCTTATGTCTTGGCGCTAATTTTTCCAATCGGGCACCACATCACTTGAATGTTAACAGCGTTGAGGCGCTAGTTCATTTTAAGGGAGTCCCTGCACTAGTTACCTTTTTTGTATTCTTATAAATAAATGTTATATTTTGTTTCTAATGGTGTTCAATCACTGATACAAAATTTAGTACTTTTTCAATGTACTTCTCTAGTTTCCTCTTTGAGTTAAATCTAAAGGAGGTTGGGGAAGTACATGATACAATCAATTGGAATGTTTAACCTATGTTTGTTGAAGTAACTTTGTAAGTAAAGGAAGAAGAAGTGTAAAGGAGATATCTTAATCCTTTTTCTTCTATAAATTTAATAAAAATGAGTTTGCTTCTCATCTATTCTATGTATGACTAAATATGTTATTTTGGATTGATGATGTAAAGAGCATGTTAAGTACTAATGAAGACTCTTCTTCTTTAAATATTTAATGATGTTTTCAGTATTATCATGTTCTTTATTTAATACACATAGTGGTTATATGTATAGTTAAAATATAGTGTGATTTATAGCCTTGACAGAAAAATATAAAAATAATTAGGAATATTGAAATAGAATATTGGAATGCCTAGACATATGATCATAAATATTATAAATTCTTAAGGAGATATTATAACTGTAGGAGGTCAGCATATATTCTTTTCACCGCTACAAGCTCGATATATATATATATACTTTGAATCATATTACCATGAAGAGTTTAATTAGAAAAATCTAAAAAAATTTATTTTGCAATCCAAAATATTTTTATTAAATATTATAACCACTATTCTATTATTTTATTCAGTGATAAAAACTCTAAAAATATCTGTTTTATTTTAGTGGGATAATTCATATAATTAGAGTAAATAATAGTATTTTATTGTAAGTAAGCATGACACTTCTTTGTTGGTTCAACACTCTACTCTATCACTTTATTACTTAATTTGACATATATACTTGCATATATTTAGTGGGGTTTTGTTATTTACATATCAAAGAAAAGCTAAGCATTATTTAGGGTTGGTAGAATATGCAATTCATACATCATTCAAAAGTTCGCTATACAACCCCCATCACTTTGGCATTATGCTTTGTAGTGTTGTGGAACTATGCTTAAAAGCACAGCGATGCCAAAAATTATCGTTATAATGTTTGAGTCTTAGTTCTATAGTAATTATGAATTTAGCATATATCACTGTGGTGCTTGATCTGAGCATTGCATCTCTAGGACACTAAAAATATCTTTATATATTTTAAATCCTAATATCCTAAGCATTAAGCCACCCCTCCCTCATTACCATTACTTTCTCAAAAAGGAAGAATGGGAGAGGGAGAGGAATGAAGAGAGAGATAGGAGAGAAATCATTCAGGGCATTTTTATCCATCAATTCTATTTGAAGATTTTCTTTTAATCATTATAAGTAACCCATATCTCATTTTAGTTTTCAATGATTTTGAGTTTGATGAATTTTTTCTCTCATATATTGATAAAAATATATTCGTTCCTAATTTATCATACTTGTAACGTATAACTTTTATTTATGATTTATTTGAATTTTGTAAGCATTTTGATTGTGATATTATTGAATTTTACGGAGTAAAATGAAAGTTATAGTTTCCTAGACTTATATATAAATTTTCCTGCATATGATAGAATTGAGCATTTCATGTTGTATTTCACACATTAAACACATTTCATGAAAGCAAGGAAGGTTGGCTATCAATATTATAAATTAATACATGTTGGCTCTTAAAACATAATACCCTTTTGTAAGAGGATGGGCCGATGGGCTTTCTTTTAAAGATGATTTATAGTATTATCTCAATTGTAGCTATAATTAATTGTTGATTATGCCGATGGTAGAGAGTGACAACTTTTAATGATTTATTGAAAGCCTCCTATTATAATAACATGATAATGTTGTTGTAATGATAATATTAATGATGAATATATATGAATGAATGGAAATACCACATTAAAGCTTGATGTCATATCTCGTTGAATCATATATTGAGCCATATATACATAAATAGTATTGATAAATAAAATTGTAATATGCATATATAGCATTAATAGATAGATCATGTGGGTACTGATAAGTATAAATTATATAGTGTTTTATATTTTTTTAAGTAAAAATGTGTTGTTTTAGTTTTTTTTATATAGGAAAAATTTAAAAATGGTAGAAATTATAAGGAGCTTACAACACCGCATCGTCTAACAAAATAGCATCAGTGTCACCTTTAATATCACCACGGCACCACAAATTAGATATTGCGGCATCGAGTTCTCTATTTGCAAACGCTGTTGTGGCAACACATCTAGTGTGACAACATTACCAGTGTCGTGATGTCAAAAACATAGCTTGAAAGCACTAGATTCTCAATTTTTAAACATCACGGTGCCACAATTTCTCATAACTTGACGCCATTTTTTACCACTCAGGCATCACAACGTTTGAATTTCAATAGCGTCGTAATGTTTCAGTTGTAGCTTTTAAAGGCACTAAGTAACTGGAACATATTAGTAAGCACCTGTTGACCTCATTTTATTTTAATTTTCCCTTGAACATGTTCAATCAGGTTGATTGAGCCTTGTCGAGTTCTATTCGATTCGATTCGAATCGGCGCCAATCTGAGTTTGATTTTGTTAATTTGAATTGAGTTGGGCATGGATTGACCCGAATTAAGATGGATTGCGTCCAACTTGAACCAGATGCCAACCCAGTCTGTCCAACATAATTCCAATTAAAATTTAATCAACCTTCTTTAAATCAATTTGAATATGATGGTGAATCAAAGAATTGAATCAATGGATATATTTTACCTTGAGAATTTAAATCTACCTCTGCCAGGCACCTCAAGCACATGCCATCCTCATTTAGAGAGGTATCCAGGCAAACATACTTCGATATAGAAAAAGTAAGTGATGCCTATTTTTTGCATTAAGGAGCAACAGCCATGAAACAAAAATAATGAACACTCAGACAGACTTGAAACTATCATACTAGACTTATAGATTAATTTATATAGCTCTATTTTACAATCATATTCCAAAACTATTATTCTGATATCACAAC